TGGATGTGGCGGATGTGAAATTGGCACTTGTGTGACTTTGGTAAATCATAAAAGTTTGAAAACACTGACAGAGATATTACTGAGTATTTTTAAAGTATTGTAATATATGAAGAGTTCAGATGCAAAAACCTCCACGTGCCGTCTGAAATTTCCATTACAAAGTGAACATTTTTCTCAGCCTCCTTTGTTTATGTTGAGTTAATTCCCTTTAAAGACCAGGAAAAGGACTTATTATTTGCCATAAAAGTGATGTTACTGAACATACACACAGGAGTCTGATAATAATGCTAATTTTAGAGGAAAATTTCAGGCGGCATTTAGAGGTTTTGACATCTAAACTCTTCATAAGCAAACACAAAAATGTAGAAAGGGTTTTGCTCGTTTGTTGAAAACTTAAATTTACTGTCATGGCACTGTTAACATTCGCATGGAGTTGCTCATTTTTTTATTTTCATAAGTACAGCTCAGTATAAGTAACTAAAAAAGTACTCGATGTCCAAACTATAACTATTTTACATTACAATGCATTTGTGGTCCAACAGATCATTCAAAAGAGCTTTTTAAATTATTATTGATATAAATATTAAAGACAAGAATTAAAGAACAGAAACTACTGTTGCACTGAATGACATTTAGAACTGTCAGAAATGATGAGAAATATCAACGTTATTTTTTGGTCATTAAAAATACATAAAAAAATTAATTTAAAAAAATACTGAAACGGGACACATTCTGATGGATTGTTGATTTAGAGATGCCCAAAAATGGCCCATTGTAACCTTTGATTTAGCCCAGCATCCCATCTGAGGAGAGCGAGTATGATGGAGAGGGTTAGTGAACGCCTTTAACACAGGGGTCATCATTTCTAATTTGACGCAAGTTGTTTGTTTTATTGCTGAGCTACAAAAAAAAACAAACTGAAATTAAATGTTTCAATTAAATGTTGAAAATGAATCAGATTTTTTTTTAAATCACTCGACGAATAGAGGACTGTGCAGAAAACATCAGCAAGCAAATCAAGGAAAAACTGGTGTATTTATGTTATAAATGAGATTGTATATTAAACTTATTACAGTTAAACAAAAAGTAAAAAATATTGCATTAGTTTATATGAAGAAATGTTTTCTATTCATGTTTAAACATTAATAAATAATATAGGAAATTACCCAAGGTAAATTGCCCCATATTTACCTCAATCACGTTTGGATTTGGCCCTTCATAAGATTTTTTTGGGTACCCCTGATGTAGACAATGAACTCACATAAAAGAAATGAAATGTTTATTCATTAATGTCATTTCCAGGCTGGTTTTAGAGGGGTTTTGGCCATTTCCAGGCTGGTTTTAGAGGGGTTTTGGCCATTTCCAGGCTGGTTTTAGAGGGGTTTTAGCCATTTCCACGCTGCTTTTAGATGGTTTTTGGCCATTTCCAGGCTGGTTTTAGAGGGGTTTTAGCCATTTCCAGGCTGGTTTTAGAGGAGTTTTGTCCATTTCCAGGCTGGTTTGCAGCCAATTCCAGCCTAGTTTTAGCTGGTCAGGCTGGGAGATGACCAGCTAAAATCAGCTTGACCAGCCTAAGCAGGCTGGGAGCCTAGCCAAAACCAGCTATGCCCAGCTCAAACCAGGCTGGTCATTTGCCAGCCTGACCAGCTAAGACCAGTCTGGAAATGGTGAAAACCCCTCTAAAACCAGGCTGGTTGACCAGCTAAAACCAGCAAATCAGCTTAGTTTTTTTCAGCAGGGTATGAATTTGCTCTTTGGTGTTTGGACTTTCAGCAGTGAAAATTAAACCATATTGAACTGAACTGACAGTTCATAATCTTCTATGTGAAGCTGCTTTGACAGAAAAGTCTTCTTTGTAAAAGCGCTGTAGAAATGAAGATGAGCTGAATTTCACAAACGCCTTAAAATTTAGTAGTGTTAAAAACTGTCAAGATTATGATGCTAAGCTAGTTTACTGAATTCTTCAAATTCAACTAGGTTTCTTGTTTACGTTGTATTCATGTAATCATTTAAAACAATTGGGTAAATTTAAACCACAGCTTTAATTAGACAGAAAATAACTTACCGTTTTGAAAACGCGCGCCATTTTAGCGCGTAAACTCCTTCAGACGGCGCGCGGACAAGATCTACCTCAGGTAAATCTAAACTAAGATTAAACGTCAAAATGGCGCGTACATCAACAATATTAAACAGCTTATCTTGGCGTACACCATTCTGTCATCGTTCCTCGAGCAATGTGTGAGATCAGTCGTGTTTGCATGAAGTTAATTAAAGGAAGCTGCGGCTCGTCAGAAAGATAATGAGGCGCTGCCGAGTGTTGTGTAAAACCTCCGTCTGAACGCCAGGTGGCGCCATCACACAGATTATATCAGTTCAATGATCAATTAATTTACATTCTTAAATGAAAATGAGTTTCGTCGAAAGCGTGTACATGTAGACTATGTCGTTTCATATTATCACCATATATCAGTCTCATTTTGAGCTGGAAGTAGGTTTATGTGACTCAGTGTAATCCATCTCTGGGATTAATGAATTTGATCTGGATTAACAGAAAACCTGCATCTGGATTACCGCAGCAGATTGTCGCCCCAATGCGCAAAATATGTCTGCTAAAATGAGAAGGAAGGCATATTTCCAAATGCATTTATTAAGAATACAGTGGTGCTGTGATTTAGCAAACGGGTAGAAACATGAGAATTATGACCATGCTAATGGAGCGTGTTACACTAATAACTGTGTTTACAAAAATGGATCGATTGTTGACTACCAACGTCACGTTTTCTGCCTTTTCACTCAAGTATCACTTGACAATACACAAAAGTAAAATGACATTGTTTGCATTCTCCTCTGTACTCGTGGAAATCTGACACATGGAACTAAATGCAAATTACATGACTTACAAGTTCATATTTGTCATATATGTCACATTTATTTCAAAATATTGCAAAAATGCCTGTTTACATATGAAGAGTTCAGATGCAAAAACCTTTAAATGCCGTCTGAAATTTTCCTCTAAAATTAAGGCAAAGATTAAGTCCTTTTCCTGGTCTTTAAAGTGAAATATCTCAACATAAGCAAAGGAGGTTAAGATAAATGTTCATTTTCGATGGAAAATTTGAGACAGCACTTGGAGGTTTTTGCATCTGAACTCTTCATATATTTCTTTACCTCTTGGAATTACAAATGTAGTGACATATATGTGTAAATATATTAGTTATAGTTTTATACAAGTGTTCATATATGGCCACATTTGAATATATACAGACATATATAGCCTATATACAGTCGTCACCATTTGAAGTGGACCAAAATCTTTTCAAAGCTGTCAAAAAGGCAAGAATGGAAGTTGTTCAATCGTTTTAGGACTGCTTTGATGAAAGGTTTTGAACCACTTTAAATGTTCACTACTGTACATACATACCCAGGTAGTAAAGAATTCCGGCCCAGATTTGGCATAAAGCTGGCACAGCAGGTATTCGTCCGGCACTAGCGTACAGCATGTGGGCCAAACAAGGTTTGGTAGAGGTGGCACCGTCTTTAAGGCAGCACAAAAGACCTGGGCCAGATATCTAATGTAGTATTTGGACCAGATGTAAAATTGTATATGTGGGCCACGTAAGTTTGGCCTTTCTTGACCCACTTTTTACAGTACATTTAAATTGTTTTTGAGTAAAGAAAAAATCTACCAATTGGGTGGTTTCCAGAAAAAGAGCAGTTTATCAAAATCAATGCAGTCGTGGCACACCAACTGGCCCAGTTCAGGCCTAGTTATGAGTTATTAACTTGGCTAAGACTTGGCCCAGATATGCTCCATGTTTGGCCCTTGTATGGAAGCCAGACTTGGTCCAATCATGTACTGTAACTCACTGCAGCATGTGGGCCAAGGAAAAGCTGATTGTGTGGGCCAGATCTGGGCCAGAGAATTTTGCTAAGTACCAGGTCTATATACCAGCATAGCAAAATTTCAATGGCCCACACAATCCGGTTGATTGTAGCCCACATGCTGCAGTGAATTACGGTACATGACTGGACCAAGTCTGGCTTTCAGACAAGGGCCAAACATGGACCAAATCTGGGCCAAGTCTTAGCCAAGTTAATAACTCACAACTGGGCCAGATTGGTTGGTGTGTCACGACTGCAATGAAATTGATAAACCCATGAAGCATTGCGCTTTAGGTGTGCTATGGCCGTGCTTTTTCTCAACTCATCCTGATTGGTAGAATTTTTTTATTTTTATTTGAAAATAAATAAAAGTATTTAAATATGGGTCAAGACGGGCCAAACTTACATGTTCTACATATCAATTTCTAACATCTGGGCCAAATACTACAATTTAAATCTGGCCCAAATATTGTGTGCAACCTTAAAAACAGTACCACCAGTGCCAAACCCAGGCCATGTTTGGCCCAAATGCTGTATGCCAGTGCTGGACAAATGCCTGTTGTGCCAGTTTTATGCCAAATCTGGGCCAGAATTCTTTGCTGCCATGGTAGATAGGCTATATTTGAACGTATATTTACATAATAATAATTCCAATGGTCGAAAAATGATATGTAAACAGACATTCATTCATTCATTCACTTTCTTTTCGGCTTAGTCCCTTATTTAAACTGGGACCTCCACAGCAGAATGAACCGCCAACTAATCCAGCATATGTTTTACGCAGCGTATGCCCTTCCAGCTGCAACCCATCTCTGGGAAACATCCATACACACTCGTTCACACTCATACACTACGGCAATTTTAGCTTACCCAATTCACCTGTACCGCATGTGTTTGGACTGTGGGGGAAACCCGGAGGAAACCAACACCAACACCGCGAGAACATGCAAACTCCACACAGAAACGCCAACTGACCCAGTCGGGACTGGAACTAGCGACCTTCTTGCGGTGAGGCGATCGTGCTACCCACTGCGCCACCGTGGCGCCTATTTGACATATGTGAAATCCAAATATGTACTTGTATATTTGCAGATATATGCCTCAGATTTCTACATGAGTAAAGAGATATTTTTTTTACAACAGACATTGAGTTCCACAAGAGACGGAATAAACTAAACGCAACACACTTCCCGGACAGTTTTGGTGTCAGCGTTGTAGAGTTCCTTCAGACGTCTGGATCTGAAACATGACGGTGTAATGTATTAAAGCCATGCATCAGCAGAAGACCACTCTCTCTCTCGCTCTCCAGCTTTAACATTCATCAGTTGCTGTAAAAAAAGGGAATCCATTCAGAGGAGAAACGTCGAGCACCTTCTTCGAGCCTCGTATCTCCGCACTGAAGCAATGGAGGGATCGTTTTTATACATCCTTCAAGCTCTCGTGCACATCTGCTCCAATAATGGGGATGAATCGAAGTTCCGATGTTGTGCATTTCGTAGGTCTTTCAGCTGGGCAGCAAACAGAGCTCCAGCCAGTCCCAGTGTTTCCACAGTGTGACCAGGAAGAGCGCCAGGGCGACGGTGGCACCGACCCGCGCCCGCGTCTTCATGAGCGGCGTGATGAAGTTGGCCATGGTGGAGACGAACACCAGCAGCACCGCCATCAGCGCCAGGATCACGTTGATCAGCTTTCCCAGCAGCGCGCGGGCGTTTGCGTTCTCCACACCCTCCAGCTGCACCACCTGCTGCTGTTGCTGCTGCAGCTCCAGCTTGGTGATGCGGGTGAGGCAGGACTCCACCGCCTCCTGCACAAACACACACACACACCAGTGTTAACACATCACTGAAGATCATTATTGAATGCTTGATTCTGATTGGCTGATGGGAACTCTAAAGTGTGTTGTTATGTTCAGATAAAAGCACAGATAAAGTAGTTCCGGCAGGTTTTTGAGAGCTCACATTTGAGGAGGCATTCAGCAATTCAATAAGACGAGGCAAATTTTTATAAGAGTGTTTCTACAAGTGGTTTGTCAACCCCACTCACCTGTGAGCCACACTCAGAAATGCATAATGTTTTGAGGTTTTCGTGTGGTGGGGTCGGGGAGAAAAGAGGGGGTCCTGGTTTTTGGTCTGGATTCAGTGTGCATTAGTGTTTAGTGTTTTTTAAGCACTCCTGAAGTACCTGTTTAGTGTTGGGCCAGTGTACTCAAGACTTCCACATTAGTAGCTGAACTTTCTCCAGGTTGGGAATGTTGCACATTTACTCACCTGGATGTCTCTCGCTCTTTCGTACGACTGGTACGCCACCTTCTCCTCCATGCTGGCCAGCTCCTGCTTCAGATTGCTCATCTCGTTCTGGTGAAGCTCTGTCAGGTCATTCAACTGCTCCTCCAGCCGCTCGTATCTGAATTAACGAGAGGAGACACAGGTGTGAAAACTTCTGCAGGTGGTGTGGGTTTACCTGAACCGCTGCTCCTGCTCCTACCACTGGCTCATGTAGCTGTAGTGTTTTAGAACCATACTGCAGTAAAGTACTTGAATTAACCAGTTTTGGGGATTCTACAGTTGCTATGGTAACAGTAACGATAGTAATTAATCTGTTGCTATGACTCTACAGTTACTTTGGTAACACCAACGATACTAATTAATTTGTTGTGGTGATTCTACAGTTACTATGGTAACAACAACTATACTAATTAATCTGTTGTTATGAATCTACAGTTGCAAAGGTAACACGACAGCTATAGTAGTTAATCTGTTGTGGTGATTCTACAGTTGCTATGGTAACAACACTGATACTAATTAATTTGTTGTTATGATTCTACAGTTGCTATGGTAACACAATAGCTATAGTAGTTAAACCGTTGTGGTGATTCTTCAGTTGCTATGGTAACAACAACTATGCTAGTTAATCTGTTGTGGTAGTTGTTGTTATGGTAACACAACAGCTATACTATTTATGAATAAGGATATCCATGAGGAGTAAAATGCTCTCATTGTTGTGTACCTGTAGCGCTCCTCCTGCAGGCACTGGGTCATGTAGCTGTAGTCGCTCTGGAGTTGCGCCTTCATGTCGTCGATGGCGTCCTCCATGTGCACCTGACCCACCTTGATCTCCTGCAGGCCTTCCAGCAGCGCGTCCCAGGAGGAGGACGAGGTGTGGTGGTGGTGATGGTGGTGGTGGTGTCCGTCCAGTCGAGGGCTGCCCATGGCTGCTCCCATTCCCGACAGGGCGCCGCCGGCTCCGCCAGAGTTGCTGCCCGCTGCGGATCCAGAGGTGGCGCTGGAACACTCATCATCACTGCCGTATTTGGGGCTGGAGACTAGCGTAGCACTGCCGCTCAGAGCTCTGGGCGTCTCCTCCGCGTGTCCGTCCTCCAGAGTGTCCTTCATATGTGCGATATTGTCGGCGCTTCCGAACTTGTTCCGAATGAGACTGGCGAACTCTCTGGGTTTGGAGACGACGGCGGTGTGTGTGAGCGCCGAGACTCCGCCTTTCACTCCCTCCACCACGCCTCCTCCAAAACCGCTGATTCCTGCTCGCATATTGGCTCCCACATCCTTCAGCCCCTGCTGCATGTCCCGCAGGACGTCTTTGGGCTGCCGTGCTGGACCGTTCTGCAGGATAGAGAACACGTGTTGTTAAACTCTGATGAACAAAATTTTAAAAAGTGATTATCTGAATTCCACCACTATAACGGGGATGGACAAACTCCTGGAGGGCCAATGTCCTGCAGAATTCTGCTCCGACACACCTGAACATGCTAATCAGGTCTTCCAGATCACTAGAAACTTATACACAATACAAATGCACCAGTTGTTGCCAGTTGACACATTCCTATAAACCAGGGGTCTCAAACTCATGGCCCACGGAACGATAGTCTGTGGCCCCCGCCTTAATTTGAACGTTTAATATCAGTGCGGCCCGCGAGTTCAATATGGAAGGCACTATATACAGTGTTTACACACGCACATAAGCATGCGCTGTGTGTCGAGCTGAACGAACCTAAAAGTAAACCCTATGCATGCAGCAGAATGTGCTGTGTTACCTGTTCGGTCTCTTTGAGCTTCTTGTGGTAGTGCTCCAGCTTCTTGTGCAGGTGTGCGATGGTCTGCGCAGACTTCTGGTTCTTTTTCTCGAACACTTGTTTGATGCGCGACGCCTGCTGCTTGTCGGCGTTGTGGGCCAGTTTGAGGTACTCAGCCACATTATCGTCCCGGGCCTCCTGCTCCACGCGGATCTGCTCCGTGATCTTCAGGATCTTCTGCTGGAGGTGTTCGAGAGCCGCCCGCGTCCGCTGTATCTCGCCCTCAGACCCGGCCTCCACGCTGATGTTCCCGTCTGACCCGCCATGGCTCACGGGGGGCGGCAGAGCCAGAGTAGACACCTCGCTCTTATCCAGCTGCATGCAGACCGGGACAAAGAGATTGCGGAGTCATGTTGATAGAAATTTCACAGCTATCTGATGTCTAATTTTACCAGCTCGGTCATATACAGAGCATCTGAGGGGTCACTTCTGTTTACAAGCAGACACACACACACACACACACACACACAAAGAGAGAGAGGGAGAGAGACGGAGAGAGAAAGAGAGTGTGACCCACTTTTAGTCTGAAAATATCTCGACAAACACAACATCACACACACTTCATTCAGACCTATAGATTTACCCTACAGAAACCCTAAACATGCGTCATCAGTCCATCAGTCAAAATCAATACTAGGCCATTTACCCACCTGAAATGATTCTGTAGCTGTGTGTCTGTCTAAAGATGTAAATTAGACTGAAATATTGCATAAAATAGTAATGAATGAAGCAATGTTGACATTCAGAAACAGAGTAAACTCCTGAGCTCCTGCTAAACCTGCACAGATATCACTGAGAGTAGTTGAGTTTGCTGCACTGTTGGGATTCTCCACTGTGATGAAGAATACTGAAGCCCTGTGATGATGGACTGACAGAGGCCTTTTACTATCAGCACAACAACATTTCACATCTGCAACAATGAAAAGCTGGAAACATGGAGAGCTGCAGACCAACATTAATGACAAAGACCCTCACACACACATTTATATCTGCAGACCAACATTAATGACGCAAAGACCCTCACACACACATTTATATCTGCAGATCAACATTAATGACACAAAGACCCTCACACACACATTTATATCTGCAGACCAACATTAATGACAAAGACCCTCACACACATTTATATCTGCACACCAACATTAATGACACTAAGACCCTCACACACACATTTATATCTGCACACCAACATTAATGACATAAAGACCCTCACACACACATTTATATCTGCAGACCAACATTAATGACGCAAAGACCCTCACACACACATTTATATCTGCAGATCAACATTAATGACACAAAGACCCTCACACACACATTTATATCTGCAGACCAACAATAATGACAAAGACCCTCACACACACATTTATATCTGCAGACCAACATTACTGACACAAAGACCCTCACACACACATTTATATCTGCAGATCAACAATAATGACGCAAAGACCCTCACACACACATTTATATCTGCAGACCAACATTAATGACACAAAGACCCTCACACACACATTTATATCTGCAGATCAACAATAATGACGCAAAGACCCTCACACACACATTTATATCTGCACACCAACATTAATGACGCAAAGACCCTCACACACACATTTATATCTGCAGATCAACAATAATGACAACATTAATGACACAAAGACCCTCACACACACATTTATATCTGCAGACCAACATTAATGACGCAAAGACCCTCACACACACATTTATATCTGCAGACCAACATTAATGACAAAGACCCTCACACACACATTTATATCTGCAGACCAACATTAATGACGCAAAGACCCTCACACACACATTTATATCTGCACACCAACATTAATGACGCAAAGACCCTCACACACACATTTATATCTGCAGACCAACATTACTGACACAAAGACCCTCACACACACATTTATATCTGCAGACCAACATTAATGACACAAAGACCCTCACACACACATTTATATCTGCAGACCAACATTAATGACACAAAGACCCTCACACACACACATTTATATCTGCAGACCAACATTAATGACGCAAAGACCCTCACACACACATTTATATCTGCAGACCAACATTAATGACGCAAAGACCCTCACACACACATTTATATCTGCACACCAACATTAATGACACAAAGACCCTCACACACACATTTATATCTGCAGACCAACATTAATGACACAAAGACCCTCACACACACATTTATATCTGCAGACCAACATTAATGACGCAAAGACCCTCACACACACATTTATATCTGCAGATCAACATTAATGACACAAAGACCCTCACACACACATTTATATCTGCAGACCAACAATAATGACAAAGACCCTCACACACACATTTATATCTGCAGACCAACATTACTGACACAAAGACCCTCACACACACATTTATATCTGCAGATCAACAATAATGACGCAAAGACCCTCACACACACATTTATATCTGCAGACCAACATTAATGACACAAAGACCCTCACACACACATTTATATCTGCAGATCAACAATAATGACGCAAAGACCCTCACACACACATTTATATCTGCACACCAACATTAATGACGCAAAGACCCTCACACACACATTTATATCTGCAGATCAACAATAATGACGCAAAGACCCTCACACACACATTTATATCTGCACACCAACATTAATGACGCAAAGACCCTCACACACACATTTATATCTGCAGACCAACATTAATGACACAAAGACCCTCACACACACATTTATATCTGCAGATCAACATTAATGACAAAGACCCTCACACACACATTTATATCTGCAGACCAACATTAATGACGCAAAGACCCTCACACACACATTTATATCTGCAGACCAACATTAATGACAAAGACCCTCACACACACATTTATATCTGCAGACCAACATTAATGACGCAAAGACCCTCACACACACATTTATATCTGCACACCAACATTAATGACGCAAAGACCCTCACACACACATTTATATCTGCAGACCAACATTACTGACACAAAGACCCTCACACACACATTTATATCTGCAGACCAACATTAATGACACAAAGACCCTCACACACACATTTATATCTGCAGACCAACATTAATGACACAAAGACCCTCACACACACACATTTATATCTGCAGACCAACATTAATGACGCAAAGACCCTCACACACACATTTATATCTGCAGACCAACATTAATGACGCAAAGACCCTCACACACACATTTATATCTGCACACCAACATTAATGACACAAAGACCCTCACACACACATTTATATCTGCAGACCAACATTAATGACACAAAGACCCTCACACACACATTTATATCTGCAGACCAACATTAATGACGCAAAGACCCTCACACACACATTTATATCTGCAGACCAACATTAATGACGCAAAGACCCTCACACACACATTTATATCTGCAGACCAACATTAATGACACAAAGACCCTCACACACACATTTATATCTGCAGACCAACAGTAATGACACAAAGACCCTCACACACACATTTATATCTGCAGACCAACATTAATGACGCAAAGACCCTCACACACACATTTATATCTGCACACCAACATTAATGACACTAAGACCCTCACACACACATTTACATCTGCAGACCAACATTAATGACACAAAGACCCTCACACACACATTTACATCTGCAGACCAACATTAATGACGCAAAGACCCTCACACACACATTTATATCTGCACACCAACATTAATGACACTAAGACCCTCACACACACATTTACATCTGCAGACCAACATTAATGACACAAAGACCCTCACACACACATTTACATCTGCAGACCAACATTAATGACACAAAGATCCTCACACACACATTTATATCTGCAGATCAACATTAATGACACAAAGACCCTCACACACACATTTACATCTGCAGATCAACATTAATGACACAAAGACCCTCACACACACATTTATAGTAAATAGTGGGTAGAATGATCGCCTCACAGCAAGAAGGTCGCTGGTTCGAGTTCCGGTTGGGTCAGTTGGTGTTTCTGTGTGGAGTTTGCATGTTCTCCCCGTGTTGGCGTGGGTTTCCTCCGGGTGCTCCGGTTTTCCCCACAGTCCAAACACATGCGCTATAGGGGAGTTGATCAACTAAATTGGCCATAGTGTGTGTGAATGAGTGTGTATGGGTGTTTCCCATAGATGGGAAGAGCATCCGCTGTGTAAAACGTGCTGGATAAGTTGCCGTTTCATTCTGCTGTGGTGACCCCAGATGAATAAAGGGACTAAGCTGAAAAACAATGCATGACTGACTGAACATCCCTCAGACATTTTGCATGCATGTGAGTGTGTGCGTGTGTACTGGTTTTGGTGGTTTGCAAGGACATGTCTGTGTCTAGTGACATAGGCATGATGACTTACGACATAAAGTGGGTTTATGAGAACATGCCTGTGTCACAAAGGAGGGTTAGGGTTAGGGGTAGTGATGAGGTAAAGCAATAAGATATTTTTACTGTATATGCTACACTATGCCTATGGAGAGTCCTCATAAACCACCAAAACTAACAACATGTGTGTTTTATGTGTGTGTTTCTGCACATGTATGCTACACACACACACACACACAGCTCCTCTACAGGTCACTGCGGTACAAGCATCATCTTTCCATGCATGTGAGCCTGAGTCATGTTACCTGCTAAGAGCATGCGCGAGTGTGTGTGTGTGTGAGTGTATGCGTGTGTGTGTGTGTGTGTGATCTACAGGCCGCATTGTGAAAGTAGGTTGGAATAGTGCACTGCGGGTCAGCATACACACGCACACACACACACATGTAGATCAGTGACGTGTGTGAGATGACAGTGGGAAATCTGCTGTTGATTCCTGACATGCAGAAGAGATAGAGAGATGGTGAATGGATGAACATATGGATGGATGGATGGATGGATGGATGGATGGATGGATGAACTGATGGATGAACTGATGGATGAACTGATGGATGGATGAACTGATGGATGGACACAGTACAGAAGAGTAATCTGTGTTGATTTACCATGGTCTTCAGTCCAGGACGTGCAGCTTCACTGCGGAGATGTTTGAGAGGGCCATGTCTCTCTCTCTCTCTCCCTCTATCTCTCTCTCTATCTGTCGGTCATGGTTTACAGCCGAGAGGGTTTCAGCTGTGTTTTCTCTCCCGCATCTCTGCGTCGTCTGTTCCTCGCGGATCTCTCGTCTCCTGAACGTGTGTTTGTGTGTTTCGACGCGGCTGCGGAGCAGATGAGCTGAGGGGGAGGGGAGTTCAGCCGAGCATGCGTCACACACACACATACAGAGAGAGAGAGAGAGAGAGAGAGAGAGAGAGAGAGAGAGAGAGAGAGAGAGAGAGAGAGAGAGAGAGAGAGAGAGAGAATAATCTGTGTGTGCTTTATTGGGTTTGTTCAAGGACGCATGATTGGTGTTTGTATGTGTGTGTGTGTGTGTGTGTGCGTGCATTTTCATTTTCAAAGAAATAAAACATTATTAATAGTAATGTGTGTGTGTGTGTGTGTGTGTGTGTGTATGTGTGTGTGTGCGTGCATTTTTATTTTCGAAGAAATAAAACATTATTAATGGTAATGTGTGTGTGTGTGTGTGTGTGTGGAAGGGGTTGTTCCCAAACACACTGCAGGGGCTGATGGGAAATGCTGACGTCAGTCTCATAGCAACACGCTTCACAACAACTGGGTCACTGTGTTGCAGAACAGCACCTGCTGCAGACGGGCATGATCCGCACACGCGCGTGTGTGTGTGTGTGTGTGTGTGATGCTGCAGATCTTCTTGCTTGCAGGAATATTCCAGAGCCCCTGATCTGGAAAACTGTTTCTGTGTCAGGATTGTTCTGGCTTCATTTCACAATTCCCACTTTTTTTTTTTCTTGGAATTTTAAGTTTGCATTTGGGATAATTTACTTTTTCTTGGAATTATAAATTAAATCTGGGAATGCCGACTTTTGCCTGGGAATTCTAGGTTTAAAACTGTAAGTCCTGACCTTTCTCTTGGAATATTTACTTTTTTGTGAATTCTGGGTTTAAAACTCACAATTTCGGCATTGTTTCCTTGAATGCCGAGTCTGCATCTTACAATACGGACTTTTTTTTCTTGGAATTCTGAATTTGCATCCTGGGATGCTGACCTTTTCCCCCCGGGAATTTTGAGTTTTGACTTATTTTCTTGGAATTCTGATTTACTGAATTTCTACTAGGAACTCAAAGTTTGCATCTTGGATTAGGGACTTTTTGCCATAGAATTCTAAGTTCACACAATTTCGACATTTTATCTTTGCATTCTGGGTTTGCGTCTTGGAAGCATCAACTTTTTATGGCCCGGAACTCTGAATTTGCATCTTGGAATACTTTCTGTTTCTTCGAATTCTGATTTTTTTTCAAGGTGTTTTTAGGTTTGCATCTTGGAATTTGTACTTTTTTCTTGGAATTCTTAGTTTATATGTTGAAATAGTTTCCATCTGGGATCGTGGAGTTTTTTTTTCCTGGGAGTTACAAGCTTTGAACACAATTCTGATATTTTATTTTGGAATTTCAGGTTAGCATTGTGGAATACTGACATTTTTCTTGCAATTCTAAATTTGCATCTTGGAATGTTGTCTTCTTCCTGGAATTCTGTTTTTTTCATGGAATTTTGAGTTTGAATCTTGGAATATTCACTTTTTTCCTTTGGTTTTTAGAGTTGAAAACTCCAAATCTTGACTTCTTTTCTTGGAATTTTGAGTTTGCATCTTGGAATACTGCCTTTTTTGTTGTGGTTTTCCACGTTTTCTCTTTTTTCCTGGGAATTTCATGCTTAAAACTAACAATTCTTGTATTTTTCTTGGAATTTCGAATTAGCATCTTGGATTTCTGATATTTTTCTTCTTCTGATATTCTTCTGCATCTTGGAATGCTGACTTTTTTTTCCTGGAATTCTGTTATTGTTAAGGAATTTTCAGTTTGATTCTTGGAATTTTCACTTTTTTCTTGGAATTTTTAGTTCAAAACTCCAACTTTTGACTTCATTTCTTGGAATTCCTACTTTTTCTCTTGGAACTCAAAGTTTGCATCTTGGAATACTTTGTTTCTTCGAATTCCAATTTTTTTCGTTTGCATCTTGGAATTCATACTTTTTTCTTGGAATGCTTAGTTTACATGTTGAAATACGGTTTTATTTTTTTGCTTGGAATTCAAAGTTTGCATCTTGTAATACTGCTTTTTTTTTAGTTCTGATGTTATGTTTAAAATTTACAATTCTGGCATCTTTGCTTGGAATTCCCAGTTTGCATCTTGAAATACTGACTTTTTTCTTGGTATTATCAATTCACTCTTCAAAATTCCAACTTTTTATTCCTTTGAATTCTGAGTTGGAATACTGACTTTTTTTTCTTGGATTTGTAAATCCACACCTGATAATTCTGACAAAATCTGGGTTTTCATCTCACAATATATATTTTTTTGTTTGTAATTTTTACTTCTCCTAATTCTAACTTTCATTCTTCAAAATCTAAATTTACATCTCACAATTCTGAACTGTTTCCTAAAGGAATTCTGACAATTAAAAAAGTAACAAGAAACCAATTTTATATCATAAACAGCTTTATTACAAGAACAATTACATGTAAATCTACAATACAATATTAATCTGTAAAATAAATACAGCATATATTTTGAGCTCTTTAACAATAACAGACCTGTGCAAGCTACACTACTCCAAAAAATAAAAACAAAACAAAAGAAACCCCAAGTGCAATTCTCAATCGACGGCGAATTATCCAATAAACAGGATATTTACAGACGGGTCGCAGAAAACAAGCAGAGTTCTAGAGCTGGTAAAGAGCTGAATGCTAAACTTCAGAAAGCCGACAGAGCTGAGATCTTGATTAGGAAACACATGAAAGCTGGTGTTCGTACTTCTTATGAAGTTTATTTTAATGTATTTGTAGAGCGTTTGTAAATATGATGTAGTGTCAGCGTTCATGGAGCAAGAGCAGAACACACTTCTGCGCAAATTCGTTACGAAAAATGCTGTGTTTTAACAGTCTTTTGTGGTCTAATCTGATCTATGTTGTATTAAAATTGAAATGCGTAAAATTGCGTCAATTCTAATTCTCGAATTGACGTTTCACGCAATTAGATTTTCACGCTAAACCTAATGCAACAAAATAATTTCACGAATAAATTGCGCAAATAATTATTTAATTCTTTGTAAAAAAAATGTGCATGTTAATTTTCAGTTTTTTTTATTTCTTATTTTTTAACTTTTTTTATTGTCATTGCAATATTTCTTATATATTTGGTAGAATAAGTTTGTTGCTATAATTATTCTTAAAGCATTTCTATACTAATTCTGTACAAATTTAACAAAAAAAAATGTTTTCCAAAAGATTTGCATAATTCTTACAACATTTTGTGCACGTAAACTTTAAGCCTACATTTATTTCAACACAAAAACTGCATAAAAAAAATTGTGCAAAAATGTTTTCGTTAAAATAAACGCAAGAATGAATTTGTTCTCTCAGTTCTATCTGCTCGTGTTTCATGAACGTCGCCAAGTGTTTTTTTTTTAAACAAAGTTTAATGTAGTAGAAAAACGTAATTGCAGCTCAATTACGATAAAGATGTGAGAACTTACTGGCAGCTTCATGAAGGTTTATGTGTAAAATAACATAAAGGGTTAGAATTATAAATAGAAGAAGAGGAAAAAACAACATTTGGCACCAAATGTTTAGAGTTTTAAAACATTAGCTACGTTTTGTGCAATAAGGCAATGTGAATATGTGCACGCTGAAATAAAAATCAGCGCTTTATATTGTTCGTAATGAAACAGTTGTCATGATTCTGTGGTCCCGTCGAGAGACAATCTCTGGAAGACTGAGGAATGGATCTTTCCAGAACATTTCCACTTGTAAATGTTAACCGTTGACATAAAACGGTTGAAATAAAAACGGAATAAACGGTGTCGTCTCTGGTTCCTGAAGGTCGTTTTCTGTCAATAACGCTGCTACGAGACGAATGCAGCTCCAGACAGATGAAGGTAGATGCAGGTCAAGAGTTTATCTGTGTGTGTGTGTGTCTCCTTCAGCTACTGGCCGGATTTGCGCGGCGTGGCCACTAGACGCTTCTTGGCTTGGTAGAAATCTGAGAACAGAGAGACGATATTATTTGTTTATTATTAGTCGAACTCACGCTTTAAATTTACATCAGAATACAAGCAGTTTAATATTACTACAATAATACTACACTCAGTGGTTCATTATTATAACAAAAAAATTAATTCTAAATTTGTATTAATGTAAAAATATCTATCAATATGCGATTATGTATATAATTCAAATATGCGATAATGTAAATCAATCTGTGTCGTGTTTGTTAGCTGAAGTTTTTGGTTGATTAAAGTACAATATAAAATAAATACGCAATTTAAAAAATGCATTAAAATATAAATATTAGATGAAAAATTTAAAAACAGAAACTTAAAACTTTACATCTAAAAATTCAACACTTTTAATAGGGTATTATAGAAAAATGCATAAAAGCAGATCATCAGAGAGTTGCATTATAGAAACACTACGACATTTATTTATTTATCTTTCTTTAATTTTTGTTATTTAAAAAAATAATCAACAAACAAACATAGCTATATACATAAATAATAACAATACTAAATAATAATAATAAAGAGGTCTGACCTGTGATGTTGGTCTGTTTGCGCTTCAGCTCGCTGCTCTTCTCTGGGGTTTTCTCCACTTCATGCGGGAGTGCAGCACATCGTTCTGGTGTTTTCGGGATGTTTTCCTTTCCAGCGGCGGACTGTCCGGGCTGATGAGCCTCACAGGGCCGTTTCTGCTGCTTTTCCTGACACGCGCGGTACAGTAGTGGCACGCGCACGCCGGACACGCCCTCCCAGTGGAAGTCTCCGCCCTCTAGTGGTTTCTCAGACGCAAAGTCGAAGCTCCAGCGTCGCGATGCGTCCTCCAGATCGCGCCGTAGCGCCGCCCGGTACTCACGCTGCAGCTGCTCGCGGTCCACCGGCCCGAAAAGACTCCGCCTAGTCGGCCCATTACCGAGTGAACGTAGGATCCGCTTGTGCGCCGCCATTGTGACAATCTGCAAACACAAACCACAGTAAAAATCACATTAAATATTGCTACACAATACATCGTTTCAGCATCGAAATCACAAGGCATTTGTGTCGCAATCATATTTAAAATCCACATGAACCAGAACCTGCATTTTTTTTCGTATTGTGACGCAGTTCCTAGACAAACTGAATTCTAAATGAAAACAGTGGGCGTGGCTTGTTTTCTTCTACTGCTAGCTGATTGGCTGTAGTAGAGTAGGCGTTCCATTGGGGAAAGATGGGGAAAAGGGTTTGGGGAGAGTTATTACAACCGAACAGACTCCTCCTCCTACTTATTTTTGTTTGTTGTCATAGCGATGACAGTTTTAGGGGTGTGGTTAAGAATGTTAGCCACACCCAATACCTCAGACAGATCAATCTGAGAATTTACCTGAACAAACAGGAAGTTCATTTACAGATTTACATTAAGGATTACAATGTAAACTATTGTTTTGTTAATAACATGCACAGATGAAGTGTTCATCACAAAATTAGCAATGTGAGCTAACAACAAGAGGATTTCTTGTGTACTTTAAAATAAAGCCACAGTCATACAGACCTATGTTTAAGCCCTAAAGTTTACTGTTTACTATTTGGAAGTTAGACCATGCTAAAAATAGGGTTTTGCAACACCAAGCATAGATTTACCATAGCTTTGTGTCATTATAACAATCCAATATTACATAAACAGACAACTTCATAATTCTATAAGAGACCTAGAAATATATATTATTATATAAATACATAGTTACATCAATCAAAAAGGGATAAAAAAAAACAAATACAAATGGTGACTACAAAATTCTAATAGATAAAAAAAATAAATAAATAAATGTATAAATATATGTATACACACACACACACACACACACTTCATTAAATAATATTTTTTTATCTACTAATGCAAAAATCTTTATAATCTAATATTTTAAAAATAAATAATAATATAAATATCAATAGGTAATTACAGACAACTACATAATCATAATTCAGTAAGGTATTACACAAAAAAACATATAGATCAATCCAGAAAACCTTAACATTTCGCATGCTAATAAAACATTTTCCTGGTTAATTCGCATAAATATCCTACTGCTGACTCCACGCGAGCTCTGCGCCTCTGAGCTGTCATGACTGAGAGTTTCTGCGGGCTGGTGTGCTTTTATATTGGGCAGTGAGTCACAGAGGACCGGCATTTGTTCGGGCATGTTCGAGCGGCTGCAGTGAGCGCGCCTGGCCGCCAGAGGGAGCAGCGCTAGACATGCAGCGCCGCCTACAGCTGAACAGCTACATTATTAGTCCAGCAGTGAAGCTTCATTATCAAACCACTGTAGTCCAATGACTTAAAGTAACTTGGTTAAGCCTTTAAACTGAAAACTAGAATCTTAATGTAATATTAAGAACTGTCATTAAAACTGACAGTGTTCATTATAATTCAATTCCTTTTTAACCTTTATCTTAATATTATGGTAAATAGTTTTTAAAAAATCACCATATTAGGCAACTGATTGACTTTTCATTCATTTAAAAAAGTTGAAAAATTAAGTTAATAATGTTTAAATTACACAAAACTTTGTGTAATTTTATAATGATAATCCATCTTAATCTGCATTAAATGAATGAAACTTAACAAAATTGAGTTTTTTCTTTGTAAGATACATGATATCTACATATTTACTTAGCAAAATGCCAATATTATACGTTTTCTTCATAAAAGTTGGCGTTATATATATATATATGGGTGTGTATGTACTGTATGTGTGCATTTAATATATGCATCATCAACAAAATAAAATTACTTACTAAAATATATGATTATATATATATATATATATATATACACCCGTCATGAACTCTCGTGCATTATAATGGGCAACATGTTCTTGAGGGTCAGAGGTCAAATTTTTTATCTAAGATGTTCAGTCTGATTCTAATTTTAAGAGACTTACCAGGAGACCTTTAAGATTTTTAAGAGACTTACCACACCACAACCCTGACAAACTAAACTGCATAATTCACTGAAATAATGCATGTCATGATTAAAATATATAGAAAATAATACACTTACTAAATCTGACAGTGTATTAAATCATTGGTAGTTCTGAATATTTCTGTAATGTGGCGTGCTCTTTAGAGTTTTTTCCGCCCAATTTTCAAAAAGTTATTTTCTAAAAAATAAAAAAAAAAAAAAAAAAAATTAGATGAAGAAAGAAGTTTCATTGGTGACGTCACGCGCCTGTCACTGGACTCTGATTGGCTTCTGCGATGGAACGTGCCGTTCATCTCGAGGAAAAAAAAATTCAAGAAGTCAGCGGGAAACCGAGTCCGCCTGTGATTGGCCAGAAGCTGACAAGAACACGCCCTCTCACTCCAGCGCTCCACGTGAAGCTGAAACTCGTGTAAGCCGGTGGAAAACACGTCGAGATCTGATACGACCGAGACTTTGGAGTTCACAATAACACAATAACAATCGATCAATCACAACTCACACCGGTCGATCAGCACAGTTCTCGATTAAAGTCAGTCTGAGGTGTTTATTTCAGTCGAGTGTTATCTGACAGAGCAAACTAAAGTTTAGAAAAGTTCCACTAAAGCACTCACAGCATCACATTAACACAATTTCAGCATATATAAAGCAATATATAAGCAAATACCCGACAACAAACGTGCAAAAGTATTTAAAACATGCAACTTACATGTTTTGAGCTTCTGCAAGAGCTGAAACTGTAAACCCGCTGATGTCAGAGTGAATGTGAGGGTTTCAGATCTCCTCAGGAGCAGTATCAGGTTTAAAACAGGAGCTGAGGAACACCTGAAGCTGGAAGTGTGGAGAAACTCAATCCTGAGCTGGAGGATCTGCACACTGGAGTTTTTCTGCTGCCTCTGACGACACTTTCCCAAACTTTATGAACTCCGATGGGCGTGTCGAGGCGGTGGGCGGAGCCTGCGAGCGCTGCACGTGGACTAGAAGCCCGGTAAACACATGACCACACGTGAGCGCGTGGAGACATTCCAGAAGATCAGCGTCACAGAAAAGAACAGAACCTTCCGAGGAGCCGCCCAGAAAACGCGCTGTTTTTACACGAGACTGTGCTATTATTTACTCATCAATAACAAATATAGAGAAATCAGTGATCACGCTAACAATTCAAATAAGCACATATATTTAATAGATATATTAAACATTTCTGAAGTACTTCTCCAGGAGCTGCTGGGCATATAGTAACCCCACCCAGATGTACTGATTTACAGCTTGGTGTTTTTTGGTCTTTCAGCCTTTGTAAGAAAAAAAAAAAAGTGTGTAAACGTGGAGAAAAAACACTGTTCTTGCATGTATGACGTCAGGAACACAATTTTTAACAAAGTGAGATTTCCTGAACTAATATATATATACACATACACACACACACATATTTGTTTCCTAAGATTAGTATCTATAAAACTGCAATGTTTCGTAATTTTTGTTTAATGGTACAGATATGGAGGATGAAGCCTGCAAAAACTATAAATAAATAAATACGCAAATAAAAAAGTATAAATCCACAGATTCCTGCATAAATGAAACAATAAATACGCAAATTAATAAATCTACAAATTCGTGCACAAATAAAACAAATAAATATGCAAATAAATAAACAAGTAAATCCACAAATTCCTGCATAAATAAAACAGTGAGTAAATAAATATGCAAATACATGAATAAATCTACAAATTCCTGCATAAATAAAACAATATATATATATACATACATATATATATACATACAATAGATAAATAAATAAATTAATAAATAAATATGCAAATAAATAATAAATAAATCCACAGTTTTGCATAAATAAAACAATAAATGAATAAATATGCAAATACATGAATAAATATTTATTAATCCACAATTTCCTTCATACATAAAACAATAAATAAATACACAAATACATAAGTAGGCCTTAATAAATCCATAAATTCCTGCAGAAATAAAACAATAAATATGCAAATAAATACATATAAAACCCACAAATTCCTGCATAAATAAATATAAAAATAGTGCGGCGAGATTATTAATTAAATAAATTATACAGATGTCGGGGGAATAAGAAAATGTTCAACTGAAAATGAAGCATTTTTTTTCCTTCTTTCAAACCGCACGAATAATTATTTATATATTTATTTTTGCAGGGATGCAATAGATTTATATATACACTTATATACTTGCATACTTATTGCATACTTATTTTTTGTTTGTTTTATTTATGCAGGAATTTATGGATTTATTTACTTATTTATTTGCATATTTATTGTTTTATTTATACAGGAATCTGTGTATTTATTTGTGTATTCATTTATTGTTTTGTAGGTTTCCTCCTCAATAAACTTTTTATTGAAACATGTATTTTGTCAACTTAATCAAAGAAAATTTTTTGCATTTTTAGAGTTGACAATGTTATACATGTAATATTTAAAATGTTCTAGTGTTTTCCTTTATTCTGCAGAGCTGTTGTGTCAATTTTCTACAAATGGATTCAGATTTTATTGTTTTGACAGAATACAAAAGAAGTCTGCATGGGAATTTATTTTTGTCTTTTTTACATTGTCACTTTGACATTTCCCACACCCTATTATTTAATCATATGATACTGCATTAGTGCATCCGATACGAATTATTCTAGTAAGTTTTCATGAAGCTATGACAAATAATTAATGCAAGACTGAAAATTAAATCCATATTCTCCTTTCAATATTAATGTCTATATTTTTAAGTTCATAAGGTAATCAAACATGACAATATTTTTTTTTACATCCAGCCTATTTATTCCATATGAATAATATTACATAACTAAAGCATAACTGTCTATAAGCCAACATGCACAGACAAAAGCACTGAAACGGACAGTCATTTAGCAGCTGTCCACTAATGAGGCTTGAGCGAGTCTGTGGTGTTTTCCCACGACTCTTATCGCAGGCAGGAAAGACCATTCATCAGTGTTTTTCAATTAATGGCCGCTCTTCATTAGCGAGTTTGCGCTTTGGCGGGAGTCTGAGCTGAGGAGGTCCCGGGAAAAAATCTGACGTCACGGAGTCTTGAGTAGAGAAGCGCGGGTGAGTTTGACTTTTTCATTCATTCAGATTCATTCATTTTAAACGAAAGTTTCATCCCCAAATTAAAAATGCTTTATCAAATTATACCACAGAGTTTATCATCCATACAGTAAAGTACTTCAACTGCTTGTCACACAACAACTACAGTAACATAAATAAATTTAGTTTTCTATTTTGTAATTTAGTTTTAAATTTAGTTTCAACTATTTTATAACAAATACAGTATTACAGTTTATCCGTTTACTATAGTTAATACTACATGCTGGAGCATTCATTAAAGTTTTTAATACTATAACAATATACTGTATGGTCACAAACACATAAGACTAACTCATTACAGTATTGTTTATTAGTTTGGAATATAACAATATGATTGAATGGAAGCTTCAAACATCCTCATGACTTCAAAATGGATTATACATGAAATATTTGCACTTTAAAAGATTAACATGAGGCTTTACATAAGATCCCACACAGTCTGAGGAGGTCCCGGGAAAATTCCTGACGTCACGGAGTCTTGAGTAAGGAAGCGCGGGTGAGTTTGACTTTTTCATTCATTCAGATTCATTCATTATAAACCAAAGTTTCATCCCATAATTAAAAATACTTTAGAAATTTATACCACAGTTTATCATCCATACTAAAGTACTTGAATTGCTTTACAATTACACAGTAAAATAAATGTAGTTTTCTACAGCTATAGGGTATGTTTTATAACAAATACACAGACAAAAATTATTCAAAGATGATTTCTTGGATTTACTCAGTTTATTTACGTTCAGTTGTTGTCATTAATTAATTTGGGCTGAATTTAAACAATCATATTAAGTTGAACATTGGTTAATTTAACTTGTTTAAACTCAACACAAATAATTTGCAACACTTCTGCAGTAATCCTCTTTTCAAGTGTAAACCTTTCACCTACTGTAGCAACGAACTAAAGTATACCACAGTATTTTATACGATTTAACAGTTCATACTACAGTATTCAGGAGCATTCATTAATGTTTTAACCATACACTGGTTCAAAACACAAAACTGTAACTTTATGTTTTCAGTTTGGAATATGACGATATGATTGAATTGAAGCTTCAAACACCCTCATGACTTCAAACTGGATTATACATGAAATATTTGCACTTTAAAAACGTGACATAACGCTTTACATAATATTCCAGTCTGAGGAGGTCCAGGGAAAAAGTCTGACGTCACGGAGTCTTGAGT